ATGTGTGTGCTGTTTGTAATTAAAAATGTACAAAAAAAATCAGCAATGAACAAAACCTCACAGAAACAATTGCTGGGAAGGGAGAGAGTTCTATTCTACCCTAGCAACTCCACAACCTAGTGAAATGTTCAACTGAGTATCAGCTCGTGTCCTCATCTATCACACCGTCCAGTTCCTGCTCCTTCCCCTGCTCATGGCCTCAACTCACTGGCAAGATTCTTGTACATAGCACTTACTAATTTCATCCCTGTAGGAGCCTCCTGCATCTGTTAGAGCAGCTGTTTTCCTTCACAACCCTACTCAGCTGAGTTTGCCTTGGCAATCACTCAGCTAAAGAAAGTGCTCTGGACAATTACCTCCTGCACTAGGATGAGCATTTAAAGATGATGTAAGAGAGAAAAGCAGTACAATTGTTTGGCCAAAAGGGCCATACTCTAGTAACTGTCTACAAATATAGTCAGGGTTAAATTTAGTGCCTATGACTACCCTAAGAATTGGATAATATTAAGAGCTCCACATAAGGACAGAGTCTATGCTCTAACACAGACAAATGCACAAAGCAGCCATTGCAACAGTGAAAACATGACATGGTGAAAGAGTCTATCAAGACTGAATCTCATTTAATTGTTTCCTTATACCCTTCTACTCACCTGTACATACTTGTCTGTCTTATCACTTGACTGCATATGCTTCAGGGCAGGGACTCCCTAAATGTACTGCATTTTGGACCACAAAACTTGCAAATCTCACAGAAAAGTAAATTATTAACACAAACACCTAAAGCATATACAAGCTTTGCATTAAGAAACTAGGTTTATGACTATTTTCCCCCCCAACACAGCATTAAGCACTACAATTTGGATTGCCATTAAATATCTGGATTGCCATTAATTATCTAGACCAGACAAACTGTCACATAAGTTTTTCACTAGTGACAGGCATTACCCTGTTGTGTCTTTCATGATACCAATGCATTAACTTTCTCAGATAATAGCATCAGTAAAATCATCTTGTAAACTCAGAATCTGCAGAATTACCACCGATACCAATGCTCTCCACTACTACTCCAATAATAAGGGTTCAGGTGAGGATACCCTTCTATAACTGTCAGTTTTTCAAATCTGCAATGATTTCTGAAGTAGTTTATTTTATTTATTCAGACCATTTTCATTCCTGGAAACAAAATGATCTTTACTGCCTAGAGCTGAGGTAGATGGATGCAGTGCAATGAAATCTTCCACACTCTTGCAAGTAAAACTGCTTTCAAATGAGTGCACAGTTGTCAGTGTGTGCTTGATGCATTTCCTTTCAAATTATTTAGTTATTACTATTGATTCCTCACACAGATCCTTTTCAGTGTGCCAGTTAGATCTTCAGAATCCTATGCATTTTGTCATAATTTATCAGAGCTATTAATAAATTTGTAGTGTTTGCATAAACAGTCTTTATTAAAACCAGAAAGTAGCCTACAGTAGCTATGTCTAGAAGTGCTGGAAGGATCAATCCTGTAGGATTTTCAGTGTAACAGTTGAAAACGTCACATGAATCTTCTGTTGCTTAAAAGCAACTCTATTTATTACAAAGGCAATCTCCAAAATGAATATTTGAGCATGATAAAACACCTGTTTGCCAATCTCCTTCAGCTGCACAGTGCAATCATTACCAGTGTTCTTGCCCTTATCCAAATGCTGTCAGGAACGTTTAGAAGACACTAAAGAAATTACCTAAGGAACATAAATGTTTGACAATTAAAAAATAACCTAGAGGTTCTCTCTCATGGCCTCTTGTCATTCACATTATTTTCAGCTTACAAACATATCAACAAATTGCATAGCAACAAGGGAAAAGGAGGAGAGAAAAACCTTTTCCAGAAGTTTTTGGAATACACTTATGAGAGTGTATGAATTTCTGCTTTTCGTCAGTCTTTTAATGTATATTCAGACTCCATCATCTCAATTTAAGATCTCAGCATCCATCAAAACACAGTGCGAATTTAAAACAGATTCTGCAAAGGCCATGACAAAAATAATACTGGTTTGTCCTTTATATTAGGTAGATATTTGATGATCTTGACAAAGAGACCTTTATAACTAAATCAGCTGAATAAAAGAGATAAATCTGATATAATCTTATACTTTTATATGTGGGACACTGTTAAAACTGTGATTTTGAATTCTGTATTTACTGATTATACTTCTTTGTAATTCTTTCCACAAAATTAAGTCTTAGCATTTGAGATGAATACCAGACTAACAGCTCCCTCATACACACTTGTGTGTGCTCAGATACACAAGCTCTCCTAGTAACATCCCATTTAGCTCATTTAAGTCATCCCCTTTCCTCTTAGCACTTATCCAGTGCTATCTCATCTTCATGCTTTTAAGATTATTGTAATGCATTTTGTGTTGTTTTCATGAGATTTCTCTCCCATTCTTGTGTCACTCACTCATTATTTTAGCCCCTTCCACACATTCTCACTAATGCTGTTGTTTTCAATGAAATTCAAATTCAGCATGAGTTAAAAGGGTGAGTCTTCAACATTCCTACTGACCTGACTGTGTGAAAATACATTAACCTAGTGACAGACTTTTCAAACTGAGATTCTATATCACTTTCTGGTTTTACTGATTTCAACAAAATTCATTATTTTACAATAATGCACCTGTGGTTGTAGGAAGTACTATGACACCCATCTCTTTCCTTAAAAGTACCAATATCCTCTCCTTGGGACTAGATAATTTGAAAGAATAAATGCCATCTAATGCTTTCCAGCATGAAAAGGAAACCCTGCAAAACAATTTATTAGAAGCAGATTATAAGAGACTGTAATCTGATAGTAAAACAAAACTATGGTAATAGTTTCTGAAGCATGCTGTATGTTTAATGCCTCTTAGTCAGTAGGGATCACTAACTGATCATGAAAAGGACACTAAGCATAGTGATTTGAATTTCAGGTAAAAGGCAACTCTCTAGCAGAAGCCATTAGTGGGCAGAAAGGTGAGGCTGACTTTGTTATTGTTGACTTAAAGAAAAATGATGATGTGCTTCAGAAGACTGAGACTAAAATAAAGTTACTACATGATGTGATAGAGCATGAAGGAGACTCCACTGTTTTCAGAATTCTACAGCAATGACCCTGACTCCACATCACTTGAATTTTATTTTTTTAACTATGTGTTAAAAGCAGAGGAATAAAACCCACAAGCTTGATTGCAATGAGCTCTGTAAAGCACAAAAGGATCTGCAAAGTGACTCCTTGTTAAGCACTGTTTCTTCAGTAGCTCAGATAATTTCAGACACGCCAGAAAAAGGCATCCACAGAGAAACACCAAGCTTTTGTGCACTGAGATCCCCCACTCTCTAGAGGGATGGATTTATGTAATTGTTCATAGACATGTGACATGCCACAGGAAAAAAAAAGAAGAAAATTAAATAAAGTGTCTGCAATGGCTTGATACCAACAAGCTGGAGAGAAGGACAGGGAGACATAGTAGAGAATAGTGTATTTACTGACAAACCTCTCGCTGCGTGGTAGGGAAAACTGATCAAATCATCAGCTCAGTTATCTTAAAAGACAAATATCCTTCTGTTGTGGAGGCAGAGGCAGTGGGAAGAAGAAAATGGGAAAAAGCAAGCAAATGAAATCTCCCATTGAAACCTCAGTACAGTAACTGTCTCTTTATCTATGCATGCTGAAGAACACGACTCCACCTGGAGACCAGACATCTCAGAGAGTTAAATCAACCTGGTCAATAAAGCGTGAAGTGGACAGGAGTAACATCTTAAAAGCCATTTCCATGACCAGAGACACGGTTAAATACTCACACAAAAACATTCTAGATCAGGCAAAGGGAAACAGTTTTACAAACAAGCTAAACAAAAGTGCCATTGACGGCAAGTCATTAAAGGATATTTAATGTGCACAATTTGTTTATAAATTTGCAGTTTCTCTTCCTACCAAATGTCTGATTATTTTGCTCTTGTTACATGCACATTGTTCAGGACAAGTGAGATGTCTCTAGGACTGAAAATGGCTTGGTATACGGCAAACAATGCCCCAGATGTACCTCCCAAGGTTTGGGGTTTTTTCTTCCCAGGTGCAAAATTGTTCAGTCAAGTGACAATTTCTTATGAAACTTATCAATTATAGAATTCATTGTTTTACTTTCATAGAAGCACAAACAACAGCACCATTGTGCATATCCTTACAGTTCAATTTCCTCATGCAAAATTCACAGCCTTTTCTAGCTTGTAGCTTTTTCTCCCCAAATATTTATGTCCAGCAAACAAAAACATTTAAACAAACTGTCTTCAAACAAGAGCAAGAAATGAACTGCACCTGAACTATATTCAGTTTTATGTAACATAGTGCACAGCTCTTCAAAAAGGAAACTGACTTTACTTACCATTTTACTCTATGGTTTTTGAAGATTTAGTACAAATCCTGGCACTGGTTTTTCATACCTAACCTTAAATTTCAAGTAATTTTAAAGAAACAAAATCTTTATCTGCTTTACTGTAATATTGAGGGTGGCCGTATTTTAATAAGTGTTTGGTTCTGTAAGTTAATTTAGGCACATTATCTCAATCTAACCCAAAAAATCTAATTCAGGACTCCTACAAGAAAAATAACTCACACACCTAAGAGAGATATTCCAAGCTGCTGCTTTCTTGAGTCTTCCAGTTTATTCTCTAAGCCATTATGTTTGTTTCAGGGATCAAATTACAGTTTATATGTTCAAATTATAATTAATTGTATAAGTTTGTAAACTCATTAGTATGTATTGGCTGTTCTTTCTTAACACTATCAGGGTAATGTTCTAAAGCACAAAAGGAAGGGAGATGCAGGGCTCTCTGAAGTCTCTGTAATGCTTCATTGTCAAACTAGCATTGTTTTAGGAAGAAGACTGTTAAGGGCACAAATAGGAATTTTAGGGCAATTAAAGGATGCTTATTCTAAAAACTGGATCCCTTCTTGTAGGAGAAAATATTGCTTTTACCTTACTGATAAGTGTGACGACATCACCTTCTCGGATTGTGAGTTCATCATCATTCTGTGCTTCATATGGAAATATCACTTTGCAATACTCCTTGTCTGAAAGGAAGAACATTCAATGTGATAAATTACCACTTTATAACAACTGCTTGTTCAAGGGTGAAAAATCTCCATAAAATATTCCACGAGTGTCTCTTTGTGCTGCTGTATTTTCTTGCCATGTTTCTCTTTGTATTTTAGACTCTCATAAACAGTATGAAATATTTAAAAAACTGCACACTGATGACTATTCCTGCACACGTCATCCAGGGAGTTGGCTCTGCAGCCCCTAGAACCATTACCTCAAATGAAATTGCTCCAGACAGCAACCTGCCACAAACTATTTCCCACAGAGTAAGTCTGTATCTGACACTTGCTTAAATAGTTCCACTGGTATGGCCTTCCACCAGATCTCATAAACTGGAAGCATAAAGGACCAAGTAGGTTGACATAGCTTATCTATCCCCTTGTGTGCAAGAAAGCAGATTTCTGCATCTATAAAGATGATAAAACAATAAATAATAAATCAATAAATGTAAATGCATTAATAACTAAACCTTCTGTACACTCTGCGTAAGAGTTTTGAATATTACTCTAAGGTTTCCTTGTCCCTTTTCCCTTTACTGTCTATAAATAAGGACAGCATCTCAACTTTCATCTGGAAAATACAGGAGCCAGCACTCCTACTCAGAAATCATAAAAAGCAGTTGTCATGAAAAGCAGTTACTTACAAGATGTTGCTGCGCAACAGACAAGTATGTCAATGTGCCTTCCAAATAAAAAGGGAATATGTATTCCAGCTGTTAAATTAGGTATAAAAATATGTGATACTCTAAGACAGCAGGTTTAAAAAGACCGAAGAAACTACTCGATCATTTGTAGAAGGACATGTGGCTTTGTAGAAATGTTCACTTTGCTTTAAATGTCGCCGTTTTGATGACCTCTATGTCTAGTCAGCTGTCATATTGGAGGCAGAGAAGCAGGTACTTGCAGGGCACAGAAATATAAATTAATTGGAAATAATGGCCTTATTTCTTTATACTTACTATAAATGGAACCTGCATTATCACACCTATGGGTATTTGAGGCTCCACCAGGGGGTCAGTTCATCTGCCCAGACGCTAAGTACCATTTCAGACACTCGTGGATATGTAAGACACCTGCATATTTGGCAGATACAAAGCACAACCTGCGGAACAGCCAGGTCCTCTGGCCTGGCAGCTGGAGGCAAGTGAAAACAAAATACCCTGGGGCTATCTCAAACAGCTCCAGATGCAGGCTACAGACTCCAGTACCAAGGCTTGGGCCTGGTATCTGAAGTTAGACTCAGGCACCCTGATGTTAGAAACCAACATGGTCAGTGTCTAGACCTGCACTACAGTTGATGAGATCAAATCACTAAAATGAGCAAAGCCTTGAGTGCCACTCCTCATTCCAAGAAGAGACATCTACATTTGATTAGCTGAATCACACTCTGAACTCCCTGGCCAGCAGTGACAGACCTCCACTGAAGCCCAGATACCAAACTCACATGGTTATAACCCAGACTTAGGGCTCTGGCTCAGAAGCTGCATCCCAACAGCTAAAGTTTAGTTTACCTTAAAGATGCAGCCAACACTTACATGTGAAGACTTGCTGTCTGTAAGCACCATCAGCCCGAGAAATTAAACAGTACTAATGGGGAAGAGGAAAGCTCTTCTCTAGTTCACACACTGCTGCTTAGAAACAGCTAGAATTTTATGTGGCACTGGTTAAAGTCAACAAGGACTTCTCAGGCTTCATGGATTTATTTTTCTGAACACAAACATATAAAATTATACATGATCATTACAGTTGGTTTTCTGGCCCTGCCTGGTATCAAGTCTGGCTGAGATGGAGTCAATTTTCTTCACAGCAGGCTGCATGGTGCTGTGTTTTGGATCTGTGACTAAACCAGCACTGGTAACACACCAGTGTTCTGGCTATTGCCCAGCAGTACCCACACAGCTTTCTTTTTCCCCATCCTATCTCTCCAGTACGTAGGCCGGGGTGGGCAAGAAGCTGGGAGGGCACACAGTAGCTGACCAAACCTGAGCAAAGGGATATTCTGTGCCATAAGACCTCCTGCTCAGCAATAACAAAGGATGAATTACAGGGGTCTTCGTATAGGAGGTTGCCATTGCTTGGAGAATGGCTGGACATTAATCTACTTGTAGTAGGTGGTGAACAATTGCCTTTGTGTTGCCTCTTTTGTTTTCCACTTTCATTCACTTATCAATCTGTCTTTATTCATGAGTTTTCTAGCTTTTGCTCACTCTGTTCCCTCCCATGTGGGGGAGGACCTGGCTGGGTGCATAGTTGCTGGCTGGGGTCAACCCACCATACCTCATCTGATGTCTCTGAACAAACAAGAGTCAGATTAAGAAAATCAACACCATCTCTGGGGGAACAAAAGAGCAAGGAAAAAATAAATCCCTTTCCCTGGTTCTGAAAGCAGGGAACACTGACAAACAAACATGGACATGTGAAAACCACCAGGTGCCAACTCGGATTTCAGAGGATGAAAGGGGTTTTTAATTGCTGCTTTACTGCATTTTGGAGGAAGGGTTTGGATCTCTCTTTGTGGTTGTGGCTAGGATGTTTCACCTGCTCACCGTCTTGTCTTCAAGATAGAATAATAATATTTTATGCAAAAGCTGTTGGAAAGTTGACACATACTGAGTTAGGTTGATATAAAGCAGCATGTAGCTATAGGAGATTCAGCACATTTTACACTTCAGTGACATCCTATCTTAAATAATCATGGTGGCGTTTTTTCTTATTCTGAGAATATTCACATCCAGAAAAGCAGCAGTGCTAAATAATAGATTCAGTGATTTAGTACAGAGTCAATGTAGATGTAATATTGCACTAAAGAAGCTGAGTGCTGCACACTCAGGCAAGTCTAGTTACTGGAAACCGACTTAGCACTTCTTTTTTGGGACACAGAACAGAAGCAAGGCTGGGTTGCTGGAGGTAAACACTACCTGAGCTCAAGAATGATCATTCCTAATGTCCATCTCAAATACATATATTGTTTGTCCATTCAACAACAGTATAAACCCAAGATGAATTGGGAAGCCAAGTACAATGTACAAACCGAGAACAGCCACTGCACTACCATAATGGCACTGCTCTGAGAGGATGTCAGCAGGGCACCTTCTGCTCAAGGTGTGGATGAATCCCATGTGTTTCAGGTTAAAGAATGGCTTGAATAGCAAGTGTCCAGGGGGTCATGTATCCTGAGTCCTACAACAGCTAAGCCTCCCTCAGATCTCACCTTGCTATTTGAAGACAGGGAATTTGAATCATCTTTCAAGATGAAGACCCTGATAGACAAGAGTGGAGAAGGCTGTGTTTTCAGCATCTGAAAAAGCAGCTGATAATCAGGAAGTAAGTACCCTCTGGCAAGTGGGTATGCATCTTTGTCTTCTAGTTTTGATATCAAGAACTCTGTTGTCCCATGACTGGTCCCCTCTTCCCACGAGGCTCTTTCCGTTTTCTCCTTTCTTTTTCTTTTCTTTAATCCAAATAGCAGGAAAAAAAGGAATTAAACTACAGAAAAAGGTCATAAATCAGCCAAATGCTGATGCAGTTCAAGAGCCAGGAGGCAATCTTGTGAGAAGCACAAGAGGGAGCTGGGGGAGGCTCACAGCTGCTCCATGCTATGAAGGCTGGTACAAGAACATAGAGTGAAGGCACAGTCATGGGAAAAATTTATGGTCTATGTACAGTGGAAGCCTGTACTTCCTGAGTACAATTCACACAGCCATACACTAAATCAATACATTTCTCTGCCTATCAGGGACCCACTGGATCATGTTGCAACAGAGCCAGGTCTCAACAACACGGATGAGTTAAGAATAATGCAAGTGACTGGACAAAGTCAGTTCTCAAACTTCTCCTAAGGGAATGGTAGACCAGCATGATTTAAGTAAGCAAAATCAAAGCCAACAGAACTAAAAATAATATGAACCTTTAAAATCAGATTAATAAAAGCAGAGAAAAATCTAATAGGTTGTGTCACATCGGTACTAAAATTGTCCTTACTCAGCGGAGCACTATACTGCAAGAGGATGTAGAAGCACTTAATGTCAACAGTTATGTTTAGATAGGAAGGAAGAAAAGACAAAAGGAAAACTAGTTTCAGACACAGCATTGTAGAGACCACACTGGAACTTGCTGAATTTGAGGTTTTCCAAGTGGAAAAAGAAATTAAAATAAACCAACTACAAAAACTAAAGGTCAAAATATATATCCTCTTACAAGCCTAGTAAATAGACATTAGCCAAATTAAAGCTTCAAACTAAGATACTAATACTAAGCCAAAACATCACCTCATTAAACAAAAAATAGAAACAGAATTAATTATGTCCTTATTAATGCAGACTCTGCTACTCCTTATACCTCCTACATCATGCAAAAACATTAGTTGCTTGCTATGATTTTGGTATTCCTATGCAATAGCTTAACACAAATTGTAAATAGACAGTGAGTGGAGTAATCAAATTAAGTGCTGTGGTCAATGTGGCCAACTCAGTGACTTACTGTCTCTGCTATTTTGTTGTCTGCTTATTTATCCTCCATTTTTGCAGTTTCAATAATCTGCAATAACTCTCTCAGACATTGTGGATGTTTTTGCTTTGCTGAAATTTAGAATCCATCAGAAGTACTTCAAAATGTATATATATTTTCTATAACATATCCTTTTCCTAACAAGCCACTTATACTAATATACACTCATACTAAAAGCAAGCTACTTCATAAGAAAAGAAAATACAGCTCACCCCAGACATAAGATTCTAAACACTCACACATGTATGTGCCATTCCATCTACATAAGAGAGATGGAAATTCAACAGGAGAATAATACCCCTATACGTCTAGGAACACGCAAATCTAAACCAAACAGCTCTCCCCTCTTCTCTTCAAAGACGCATTCTCCTGTTCCTGAAAGGTTAGTGATGTTTTCTAAGGGATCACTCAAGCTCTGTAAAGGTTTGTGCTTTCATCATGCTCTTCCTTTGAGCAAAAATTCCTCTTTGGCCCTGAAGAGTCATTTGTCCCCAAAATTCTTAAACCCACATTTAGGGAGATTTACATGGAATATTGTTGGGAGATGCAACTTAAGAGAACATACTCCTATGTCTCTTGCTCTAACCAACTCATCCTGTTGCAGAACTTAGGTATCTTGCATGTACCCAAGAGCAGACGGGAAGCATGTCAAGTGCCTCACTGCCCTACCACATCAGAAAAGCTATAGCAAAAAAAGCAGGCTCAAAACAAGACGTGAGAAATCAGGAACAGTAACTCCATGCTGAGAGGGAAGATGCTGCTACCTGTTTCCTCAGTGGGCTCTTTCACAATGCAACTGCATTTTTTATCCAGTTGAGACTAAGGATTAACAGCACCGGTCATGGAAATAAATGGGTGGAAAATGAAAAATTGTATTAGTCCTCAACCAACATAACCTCTGTTTTGCTTGCAGCATTCACCTCCAGCAGTAATCCCAAAGGAATCCAAAAGCTCCTTCTCCATACTGGGCTTAGTCTATGAAGCTGTTTCTTGCTACTTCCTTGGAGAATAGCACAGCACCTGTTCTCTTCAGCAATTAAAGACTTCTAGAAAGACTGGGACACTACCATCCCAGGCAAAAGTCAAAGTAGTTGAGGTAGCAAATGGAATGATACTCTTATGCTGAGCACTGCAATTGGAACATTCACCAGTTTTCTGAGACTGCAAACTTCCCTGGATTGAATGCTTTTTCAAGCTTGTTTGTGGTAAAAAGTAAAAATTGAATTTTGGAGAAATGACAGATACTAGACAGGTCATAGTCCTATGCCAGAGCCTGATCATACTCCTCATGTCCGACTACCAGACATCATGATGAAAAAATGATTCCTCTGTCTATATTAAAAACCAAACCAGACTGAAGTATGATTCATTTTCACTGGAAGGTTTTACAATTTAAGTAAAGGACAACTTCAACTGATTGAAATGTATCTTCAGTGATGCCATCTGAGGCTAAAACAATTATATATAATTACATTACATCAGACCTTCCTATATATGTGCTTCTCTTTCCCAAGCATGAACAGAGATGCCAAGAATTCTACTGAGGCCCCTGAGGTTCCAGGAAAGAGAAAATATCCTAAAAAACAAGCTTAGGTACAATTCATAGAACAAGACACTGTACAAATAAGCAGCCCACCCTTCTCACCAGCTCTGGCAAAAGGGATGTTGAATGAAGCTGGCAACAGAAGAAGAAAGATTTTTCTGGCCAAAAAGGTATGGCCGAGGAAAATAACAAAGAGGTGAAAGAAGAAGCAACCAGAGCCCAAAAAGGTTGATGGCAAAGTTTCTTCTCCCAGCCAGAGCTTACTGGATCACTGTAGAAGGTACAGTTCTGTAACCATTGTTCAAAAGATTCCACACCTGTTTATAAGTGGTGAGAATTTGAACCTCCTGTACCCTGGGATGGGCTTTAGGGAGCAGATTTGGTGTCAGTAGTATGAGCTGTCTCACTGCCTGGCTTAGCACTCAAGGGTTAGTGCTGCAGGTGGGAAAGTCCTTTGGCCCACCCCTTCTGATGGCACCTACACTCAGAGCAGCTTAACCTGCTCAAGCCGCAGGTTGGGAAAGGTAATTCCAAAACACGTTCAGGAGCCCTGTTTTACATTACCAGTTCACACATTTTTCAGTATTTCAAGTTCTCACCTCCTCAGGGCAACTGAGTTCTTGCTGTACTTCCCATTAATAGCCTCGTGGCACAGGGGAAAAAGACAAGAGGATGTAGCAAGTCAATTAGTGTGGTGGAGCTAATGGATGCTAACACTCTAAAAGCTGTTTTATGCTGCTTTTGCAACTCTGAGCTGAAAACCTGTGCAAATCAGGTCATAACCACACACTTCTCTCAGACAGGCCCTGTACTGCTGATCCAGATGCTTGACTTCCTATGTCTGTATGTGTTTCAGTTCTGAGACAAAATGTTATCTGCTAACTATCTAAAAGCATAAACACATCAGGGAGACTGTGCAAGACTGAAAGAAATGCAACTCTTTATATTATACTCAGCTTATTTTCCAAGGTATGGCTATGTTCTCTCCCTTCTTATTCTTTTCCACCAGAATCTGTAAGATTTGGTTGTAACTTTATATAAATAAAATCAAAATATGGGGAATATATATATATGTTATTTGGTAAGTTAGTTACATATGCCTCCCTAGGACAGCACAGATGTGCCTAAAAGATTTAATCATTGCTTTTTGCTTACTAAGCATTGAAATGATGAAAAAAGAACTGAAGTTCACAGAATCAGAGAATCATAGAATGGTTTGAGTTGGAAGGAACCTTTAGGATCATCTAGTTCCAACCCCTCTGCTATGGACAGGGACATTTTCCACTAGAGCAGGTTGCTCAAAGCCCCATCCATCCTGGTGTTGAACACTTCAAGGGATGGGATGGAGCACACTTCTTTGAGCAACTTGTTCCAGTACCTCACCACCCTCAGAGTAAAGAATTTCTTCCTAATATCTAATGAAAACCTCTTCTCTTTTAGATTGAAGCCATTCCCCCTGGTCCTGTCACTACATGCTCTTGGAGAAAGTCCCAGTTCAGCTTTCTTGTAGGCCTCTTCAGGTACTGGAAGGCTCCTGTAAGGTCTCCCCAGAGCCTTCTCTTCCAATTTCCCATACAAACTATACCATCCACACAGATTATTTCCACTACACAAAGAAATAAAAGTATAAAAGAGGAAAAAAGCAAGGGCACTTACAATCAGTGAAATTTTTCTACGACCTACCTACAAGTTACAGCCTGAAGTTGGATCTTATTCAACTCTGATTAATTCCAAAGTACCCTCAAGGCTGAAAGTTGATCACATAAGTTAATTTGATTTTTGGGGGCAGAAAACTCAAGGTAGGATTACCAAAGCAAAAGCAATTCAGAGGATTCTGTGAAGCAAAACATTCTGTCTACTGCCTACTCAAAGTTTATCCTAAATATATCTCTCTGAAGCCTTATTTTTCATACATACAGGACACACTTTTAGCCAAAAGCAGAGAAAAGTGTTCAGCTTGCTTTTAACAGCACAAAGTGCAAAAAAGAAAAACCTATGAAACCTACTTTTTGTTCTGCTGTCCACTTCTATTTTTGTTGGCTCCTGAGTTGCTGTGGCTGGAGGTAATTTCTTCCCAACACTCTGAAAAAAAATAATTATTCTCCTTTAAAATTTGCATGTTCAGTTAAAAAGCTGGACAACATAAAAAATGGTAATGGAAATACAAAATATAGGAGTAGAAAAAGGACAGTAAAGAAAGAGAGGCAAATTAAACTATATTTAGGTTTGTCATTGGGGGTTTTGTTAACTTTTTTTAAAATGATAAAGAATTCATGAAAATGTGATCTTCAAATTTCCCTTTAAAAATGTTTACTACTATTTGTAAACAATAACCCCTTAGTACAGTTTCATCGAAGACTCACAGAAGTTTTATTGGTGGACTGAATATGTGACAAAATTACTTAATGAGAGGAGCTACTCAGTACCAAAGAAAAACTAAAAGAAATGGGGATGATTAATTCCCTTAAGTTCTGCCCATACAAGGAATATTCATTTCAGTCATTCTAGATTGAGCGTGATTTTTATATTGACCACATCTCTTTCCCCTTGAGTTCTGCCCATACAAGGAATACTCATTTCAGTCATTCTAGATTGAGTGTGATTTTTATATTGACCACATCTCTTTAAAAGGTTCCCAAATAACTAATTCACAGAGGAGCAAAAATGAGCCTCATACAAGTAAGCTGAAACAGTAAACAAATACTACCAGCCCCCAATAAAAAAAATTGGTGATATTAATCTTTATGTATCCGCACCTGTTACTATATGCATGCTATGCACTCTCTCTCTCAGCTTTTCTCCCTATCAAGAAGGTTTTCTAGCTGTAAAATCCCAGCAATGTGTAGTTGAGAAAATAAATGTAATTATCACTTGTTTATATAGATACGAGTACTAAAAAGCCCTAGCTGTAGTTCAACATCCCTTTCTGGTAAGGTATGCATGAACACCACAAAACCTCCTCCACGTTCCAGTGACCTTCTGAGTAAAAGCTAAGAGATGAGAGAGCTAAAGTTCAGTCTTGGAGGCACTGAGTACCACTCGGGGACCATAAGGAAAACACTGGTCAGTATGAGAAGCAATAGGAGTACAGTACTTCAAGTAGCTGAAAAATTTCAAGGTGCATAAAGAATATTAAGAGCTCCATGTTGGTCATTTTGTACACTAATGTGTCAAAACATATCTGTGAAAAGGTCTAAAAGCAACAGGGATTTCAGGCTGGTAGAAAGAGCACCTGGGGAAAAGAGGTAGTTCTGAGAGTTGTGCAGAAGACAGTAATCAAATCTGTGTTGACAGTAGGACAAACTATGAATTGCAACACCCAAGAGCATCCTGTTGCAACCTAACTTGCAGACAGCAGCAGAAACAACTGACCTTCTGATGAGCTTATAACTCTACTTAGAACCCAGAGTTTGTGAACTGCTGGGGAAAGAGAGATCCACAACAAAACTCTACAGAAACTCCCAAATTCTTTGCTGAGGTGGGAATGAGCAATGAGAAGCATTAACTGCAGCAACCATTAGAGAGGTAACAGAAAAACAGGAGATGACAGACTCCTGCAATCAGCAGAGGGCAAAACTAAGAAAAGAGCATGACCTGGCTGTGCTGAAGAAGTTTAAAGTCGAGAAGGATGATGATGAAGAGCTGACGCTGAGATCTAGCTGGAAAGCAGTGAAAATTGTACTCAAAGAGATATAATGAGGAATTTGAAGGTACCAGGCATTTACACAGATAAAAGCACTAAATGCCTTCAAGATGAATGCAAGACTGGAAAGACAGCTTTTGGTTCAGAGGCACACAGGGCAGTAGTTCAAGATAGCTGCACATCTCAGCACCTGCTCATTCATGATCAAACCTTTATTCATCATTCTGCTTCATAAAATGATTTGGAAAATGATGAGAGCACATACTCTAAACTGCACTGCTATTTAACTCAGAAAGGAATGCTTCCTAAAGGAATATCCCAAACCCTTAGGGTAGGAGAGGTTTTCTTTCCTTTTTAAAGATGAAATGATTATGCAAGAACAAACAATTAAAGGAAATAATTTGGTAGTTCAGTTATCATACATGAATTCTTGATTTTATGCCATGAAACCAAACCCCAGATAAACCCAAAACAAGCTAAAATTTAACAAGCTACAAATCACAGCAAAAGAATCATGGGCAAAAAAGGAGGATACTAGTGTATCCCAGTGGGAAAGGCATGCTCAGATGTAATTTCTTAATTTATAGAAGCAGATGCAAGGGCAATGCTTGAAAACATTCATTCATCTGCTCACTCAGAATGAATGCTTGTGCAGGTGATAAATCAAGACTGGGAACCAACTGATCCCTTGTGAACAAAAAAGAGAATGCCATCCAAACAAGGCTCCTCTTTTATTAGGAGCTAGAAGGCATAATTCAAATCATTTTAATGAGGGTTGCACAGAACCCACTCCAGTGACAAGGGACATCTGAATTTGTTGTGGGACAGGGGTAAGAGAAGACAAGTGGAACTGGTATTCTTTAATTGTAAGGGGATTGAACTCTAGGATTTATAGGGGTGACATGAGCACTACTGACAAGAAAAAAGAATAAAAATTGATAAGACATGCAAATTTGGCCAAGATGTTCTACTCTTCCTGTGAAATGGTACTAAAGGAGATATAATTTTTTATTATGATTTATGTTTACAGTTAGTTTATACTGATCCATACATTTGCATGGAAAATTTGTTCTTACTCTCTGGAAACACCTCCATGAAACTTAATATAGTACTCATTTGCTCATGTAGGAAACACCCAAGATAAACTTTCCTCACTTTAAGAGACACTGAATCCTCTATGATCTATTAAGTCTGATTGTTCTGCTTTAACAGGATAAAACCTCAAGTATAGCTAAGATCTGTATGCTGCGAGTCCCAGATCAGGTAATATCACAGTTACCAATTTTTTTGGCAAGAAAAAGAAATTTTACTGTGTTACTCATACTCCCATACAGGTCAAACATCTACTAATTTTACTAGTGGCAAGGAGAACCAAGGAAGCCCAACTTAAATTCTTGCTGATCCAACATACATCAGCATGACAGACTTTTTGTCTCAGGGACTAGTTACTATAGGATATTTTGGTCTCTTCTTCGGATGAAAGCCCAGTGCAATTTATCAAAACCACTTTCACTTCTAAAAGAAAGAAAGAAAGAAAAAGAAAGAAAAGAAAGCAGAGAATGCTCTAAATAGGTTGAACTGAAGATTTCAATAGAATTCTTTCTCCTCCTCTATTCTTTCTTTACATAAGAAGGTCCAAGCCAAGTTTCTAGACACATTGATCTATGCTGTGAAATACTGATACTCCAGATTTCATGGTAGTCTTTCACCCCATTCATTCCTATCAGTCTCAATATTCCTAAGAAGCAAGCAGATCTTATCCCTCTTGGCACAAAAGCAGAAACCAAGATACAGAATTTGAAGGACTTTTTTTGATCCAAGAGCAGGATCCTCAACCCTACCAGCATCCCCTGACATCTCTCAGCATGAACTGTCTCTCTCCATTATCCCAACTCTATCGTGTTGTTGATCATGTTTGCAATAAAGTCACATGCAACATGAAGCAGAACACCCAGAAAGACACCCTCCCAGCAGTGTCCTACTAGCCAGGCTGCAAAGACAAGTGAAGTTCTGCATTTTCTCTCCAGTACTGTATATCTTTAATTCTTGCCTGCAGAATGGTTGCAGTACCAGCAAAAAGGATAGCAAAGCATCCTGTGCTTTGTATCTCTAGCCTGGTGGTACAGACACACCCCTAAAGATTACTGTTTAAGTTTCCCTTCTATCCTTCTCCAGTATGCTGATTATCATAAATCCCTTTTCTAGATGGTGGCAGTGAGCCTTGTTCCACTTACGTTACTCCGGAGATATCACTGACTTTCTTAGTCCTGTCACCCAAGAAACAGGTGGTGGAGACAGAGTTTGTATTTTCTCACTTCAAGCCTAGGTTGACTCCCAACACACAACAGAGCATTACCAACAAAACAGGCAGAATCTCAATCCCACTATTTCTGCAAAGTGAGCATCATTAGCTTATTTAGCTGTCGGACACAAATTGCACTAATCGCCTGACAAGCAAATCCTAACGATGAAAGGGGATGAAGTGCTCTCATGCTGCAGAAACAGCTGATAAAAGCATAAATAATGACCATGACTTGGTGTACAGATATTCAGAGGAATGAGACAGACTTAGCAGCAACCTGACAGTATCAACACTTGGTATTATGAAGCCAAAGGAAGGACAGTCTAGCACTAAAGAACAGGTTCTGTTGGCAGAATAGGTCTCAATGGCACTTTAGTGCACTGCAAATCCATCTAACTGCACACCAGCTTCCTCTGAAACTGAATTAACAGTGATTACAAAAGTGGTTGAGGTGGCACACAAAGTTGTGTGAATGAGGTCACAGTACAATATAAACACTTTCATTTTCCTTCATGTATGTATTTTTTCTCAACTGCAATCCCTGTAAGAGCAGAGACCAACACAAGAGAAGCAGAGCATGCAACAGGCAGGATACAAATGAGTTCTTCGCACTTGAAGGTACTACAGCTCTTCCCTGCAACTATTGAGCTGTGACCACAAGAAGAACAGCTGACCTGTGATCAAGTTTCCTCCTTCACAGTAATTTTGAACTGTACTTCAGGGTTTTCTGTTGTTAAAAACTGATTCATCTATTCATTTTATTATTCAAGTCTTGCATCTCTAGGACATTTCATATGAAAATTCAAATTGAACTGTCACTTGAGCACAGGTAGGTCCATACAGAAGATTCTGTTATACTTCTTTGCACTAAGTTATCTGTTGAGGCTCCTCTAACCAATATAGGCTTCTCAAAGCAACAGTTTATTTACTCAGGAATAAGGAAAAAAATATTTACTCAGCATCAGTATTTATTCTTTAAAGTCTATCGAGGTCTTTACCCTAGATACAATATTTTGGAAATGCTACTTGGAATATAACTCCATGAAGATATTCTTAAGGAATACAGCAGACAATACAGAATTCATAAAAATAAGCTGTATGAGCTGGAAACACTCACTTTTTTAAGCTTAACACATT